TTTAGTCTGCTGAGTAAAAGGCTGTGGCAGTGGGGACTCTGGGACTAAGGGTGTAGTCGCACTAGCATGTATGTACCATGCCAGAGCGTGTGTGACCCCAAAAGTACTGTTCATTTGGCAAATGTGATCACTACGTACTTTGCTCATGCATGGTACAATATACTACATCATGGCCTGCTTGAAAGAGGTGATCTGGGGCAAGCTGAGTTGTATTCTGGCACGGTACTCATACAGTTGTGTTCAAAAGTTTACATACCCTTGGAGAATTGGTAATATATGTACCATTTTTCCAATATCAATGCCAAAATGTCACAAAATTCTCTCTGATTGAAACTAAACACTGAGCTGCCCAATAAGGAAGGAGTTGCCATTCTCATTCACCTATGCATAAATTCAGCTTGAGATTTTGAGCTTTGTATATCAGATAAAAAAACATTTTAAAGTGATACTAAACTCAGGAGTTAAATATTAAAAATGCATTCAAGTACCTTAATAATAATTAACAAAAATTACCTTTCTTGTGTATCACATGGCTGTAGATCCTCAAATCCTCTCTGAATTGGTGCTGACACTGTCCTTCCTTCTGAGGGGTGGCTACTTTTGGTCACCATGGTCCCTGTGTGTGTTGTAAAGTAGTCACCGCTCCAGAAGGAAGGACAGTGTCAGCACCAATTCAGAGATGATTTGAGGATCTCAAATAAGGCCCAATATTGTTAATAGTAGGGATGCACCAATACCGTTTTTTTTGGTATCGAGTATGAGTACCGTTTTTTTTTTTTGTTTTTTTTTTTTATAGTACTCGCCGATAACAGAAGTCCCATTATTGATGAGGAAGCAAGTCATTACACACCGCCTGGCTTCCTGATTGGCCAGGACGCCGGCCCCATGCTCCATCAGAAAGCTGGGCGGCGAGTCATTAATGGGACGTCCGGTATCGGTATTCGCCAACTGACGAGGGAGCATGGAGCCGGCTTCACGGCCAATCAGGAAGCCAGGGGTTGAGTATATACCAGGCGGCTTCCCTGCCAATAAGGAAGCCAGGCGGTGTCTATTGACTCGCAGAGTGGCTTCCTGCTACCAGAAGCTCCGGTATCGGGTTAAGCATGCACTCGGGTTAAGTATTTGAGCACTCGCCCAAATACTAGTATCGGTGCATCCCTAGTTAATAGTTCAGGTATTTTAATGCGTTTTAAGATTTAACTCCTGAGCTTAGTCTCACTTTAACCCTTACCTGCTGGCTGGGATAAAATACTACATAAAATGCATATAAAATGTTTCATTTTCACATGAAAAAAACATACTGTTTTATATTTTTTTCTATTTATTTTAATTGACTATATTAGGTACACAATTTGAACAGCGGCACTATATATTCTCTTTGAACATGACGTAGTTGGTTATCACAGGAAGGTCGGACCTTGAGTTTATTTTGGTTTCCAGTTAATTAGTGGTATTACTCTATTTCCCTGCGGCCAAAACACTTCTCAGAAGTATCTGGAATTATGGAAGTCATATCTGTCAGTTCATGTTTACAAATAATCCTCAGGGTTTTGCATTCGGAATCCCATAGCTGCCTGGTTTTGAGCCTTGGTGCTGACGGACGCATTGGATAAAAGGGAGTTATCCCAAATCATTTTTATTAAGTTGGATGTTCCTTTAAATCCAGAATATAGAGTACTGAGCGCTGGTCACCTTTGGCCTTTCTACCTAGCTGCACTTATAAGCATTTTGGTCTGCAGAAACGATACGTGTCTAGAACAAACAGTTCACATCAGGACACGGTGCATGCGGTCTCTAAACATAATTTATAGGAAGATAGACTTTTCAGACACAATCGTGATTACATTGAGGTTTAGAACAATAAAAATACATCATTTGAATGTGGTTTGCACTAGCAAAAAAATGGTTTTATACTTTTTTGACTGAGGAAAACCTTTTCACATTGCTCTGGGGCCCTGCTACAAGGTGATTCACGTTATTCTATGGAAACAGTGGTAATTGCAGTTATTAAAGCCAAACTTTCCTTTTTATTTTTAAAGGATATGTAAACCCATGAACTGAATGATATTTATTTTACTAAAGCATTGTGTATCAGAAACAAAATGATTCTTCCTTTTTTTGTTAATACTTTTTCGTCATCCTTTTTTGCATCTTAGTGCTTGCGATCTAATGCAGATTATTTGCAGTCACTTCTTGTCTACATGCACTCCAGCAATGGCAGCATAGCATTTCTTAGGTCAGGTTTTGCTGAGGGTGCCAATAGTGGATCATGGCTGTATATTATGTTGTGAAATGGACACTTGTCTCCATTAGAAACTTGTGTGACAACAGAGCACAATAAGTACAAAATGGGCGGATGTTGGGTGGGCGGATGTTGCATGAGAAGGCCTGGACTGTTATCGGTAGGGATGCACCGATATCGGGTATTTGGGTGAGTACTCGTACTCGCCCAAATACCCCGATACTGGAACTTCTGATCAGAGGAAGATTTCTACTGACCGGCAGTGCCATAGGGGAACATGAAGCCAGCTTCCTGTGCGATCAGGAACTGGGTGGCAAGTAATGACCCACCTCCCAGCTTCCCGATTGGCTGGGAAGCCGGTTTCCCGGCCAATCAGCATTGAGCCGGCCAAACAGCCAGGTCCTTGCATGGAGCCGGCTTCCCGGCTAATCATGAAGCCGGTTTCCCTTCCAATCACAATCAAGCTGGCCAAACAACATGGAGCCGGCTTCCTGGCCAATCAGGAATACAGACGGAGGGTAATGACATGCCGCCTGGCTTGCTGATTGCCCAGGAAGCCAGCTCCATGCCAGCAGAAGCACCGGTATTCGCGAGTACCGAAAACAAAATATCTGTACTCGATGCTGAAAGAACGATATTGGTGCATCCCTAGTTATGAACATTGCAATTCATTCTAAAGATGTTCAGTAGGGCTCTGTTCAGGCCCCTAAAGTTCTTCCACACCAAACTGGTAAAACCGTGTCTGGGACCTGGCTTGTGCACAGTCATACTGAAACGGAAAAAAGCCTTCCCCAAACTATTGCCACAAGGTTGGAAGCACACAGTCTAAAATGACTTTGTATGTTGTTAACATTAACAGAACCATTCACTGGAAGCACCCACCTGAACTCATGTAATGGGTGGGGTGTCCACATACTTTTGACCATAGAGAGTGCTTGTTTTCGCTAGATTCTAGAGAGTTCAACCACCTCTAACTTTCTTCTATCTCTCGGGGACTCTATTGGTGAGATCTTTGTTCTTGAGTTACTGGATTTGTGCTCCTACCGTGGTTATCATATGGGCTCCTCACTCTACCAGTTGGGTTTATTTATTTTATATTATGGAAAATTTTACAGGAGAAACTCAGACACACAGATGGGCAAAGACTACCAAAGCTGCAAGGTGTACTTAAACAGAATCAATAATTATGACAAAGAGGTCTCACTATTGTAGTACTGAAGACATAGAAGAATCCAGGTGGTTGATTGTGCCCACCATGCTCTACCCATGACTCCTATATCACTTTTGGGTGGACATAATGAACACATGCAGCTGAAGAACATACTAGCTCACTAGGATACTAGAAGTCATTCCTGCAGTAAAAAGACTCTGCTTCAGATTTTGGTGCTCTGCCTATATCACATTGATGTAACGGAGGGTTGGTATACTTCTTGATGCACGCTGCAGTGTACTTTCCCCGCATATTTGTTTTAAAGGGTTATTAAACCATCACGGTTTTTCTTTTGCATATATCTCCTGCTAGCAAGCAGGAGATATATGCAAAAACTTTTTTTTTTTTTAAACCCTTTTCAAACAGTTTTAAACTTACCTGTGTCTCCGCCGCTCGCTCCCGTCCGAACATCTGAAGAATCTCGGGTGGCCGCAAAGGAGCTTGGGGCGGGCGCATGCGCAGTTCAGATGTTTGGCCAGGAGACGAGGAGAGACACAAGGTAAGTCTATGGAGCAGCGTGCACCCGCACAGACTCCGTGGGACATGAGAGAAGAGGAGTCAGCGCTGGATCAGAGACCCGCACCAGCGCTGGAGGGACAGCTGAAAAGGACAGTAAATAATATGATTGGATTAAGAGACTTCATTTAAAGTGACATTAAACCCTCAGAAGTCCCATGCTGCTCTTCCTTTTAAATCTGTATCTGTTCTCATGCTCTGCAGAACTTCTGTTTTGCAGCTGTCCTGCAAATAGTGGCGGTCACCCGTGGTAGATCAGTTAAAATGTCACTTCAGACTTGCTACAGTGGCCAAATAAAACACAGGTGAAGCAATATAACCCCCCGCTGCATTAACACCTCATAACGTAGATTCCTGTTGAGATGCCCCTTTCCAAGCATGATGGTATAATCACAGAATTAAACCATCTAATGTGTGCTGGTGGTCTTTTTTGCTTTCTTGTCTCCTGCCAGAAGTGCATCTGTTTTAAGTTTCTTAGTGCTGAAAATCAGTTTGTTTTGTGGGGCAATGCTAATGACTCAAACCCCCACCCCGCCGTCTGCTACGCTAAGATGTGACAAATCAAAGCATAACCGTCTTCCAACAGGCTCCTAATCGCTTCTTTGGATCTCTTGCTTCTTAAGAAGCCGATCTTACTTTACTTTTTTTTTTTTTATATAAAGGACTCAGATTTAAAACACATTTATTTATTTACTCAATACGAATGGTAATGCACCATGCTTGGCGATACGGTCGCCAAACATCTGGGTATTCCCAGCCAAACCGAATGAACGTTTTATTTCTATGCTTTGAGGTTAACAATGTTGTCCTTTGTTTTTAGGTATGCTTCTTAAGAAGCCGATCTTACTTTACTTTTTTTTTTTTTTATATAAAGGACTCAGATTTAAAACACATTTATGTATTTACTCAATACGAATGGTAATGCACCATGCTTGGCGATACGGTCGCCAAACATCTGGGTATTCCCAGCCAAACCGAATGAACGTTTTATTTCTATGCTTTGAGGTTAACAATGTTGTCCTTTGTTTTTAGGTATCTAAACCATGTACGAGCTACTTCCCCACAGGATCTCGCCGGAGGCTACACTTCCTCTCTCGCATGCCATAGGGCACTGCAGGACGCCTTCAGCGGGCTCTTCTGGCAGTCGCATTAACTTGCGTAGCCCCAGTCTGAACAAGAACGGACGTTGGCACGGGACCAGCATCTAACGCAAGTGAATCTGGTAAAATTGCTGCCATCTGCAGCCCTACCTAGGCCGGAGCGCTCTTTAATAAAGACAGCTGTGTTCCAGGATCATTTTTTTTTTTTTTTTTTTTCTTCCAGAAGACAGAAAACAGCCTTCAAACCAATACGTTTTTTTTTTTTTCTGGTCCTGAGAGCAACTGAAACAACAAGTCATGTCTGATGGAAGAAATGAATAATTCCATTGAAATCATTGGGATTTCTCTAAGAAGTTGTAAATTTTCTGTTTATTTTTAAATAAAGCCAACTTTTATTAGTTTGTGGTTTTCCGTTTTGTACGAGGCTTTGTTAGATAAATATTTAGTCAGCGTTAGTCACAGCGTGTGTTTTGGACGGCTGAAAAACCAACGGTTGTCATTAATCCAGAGAGGTTTTTGTTTTATCTTTATAATCAATGGCTATCGTCAATACAAATAAAGTGCACCTGTAATGTAAAAATAAACCTACTGCTGTGAAGGAAGAAGTAGACAACATGTTTGCCACTCTCAATGGTGAAGGTTTTTAAAGCTGAACTCCAAGCAGATATGAAAGGCACAAATCAATGCAGTGTAAAGGTCCCCACACACCTTGCGATAATCGTACGATAAAATCCCGCGATCGTACGATTATCGCAAGGTGTGTGGAAGGCCTTACAGTAGCAGAGGTTGCACGACTTTTATCTTATGAACATGTTCGAAAACCCGCCGAGAATCGTACGATTGTCGGCGGGTGTGTGGCATGTTAGTAAGATAAATGCCGCATGGGCAAGCGCACACTGCCCGTTCAGCATTGCCGTCATCTCAAGTCTAAAGATAGGCAGATCGTACATTTTTAAAATTACCTTACAACCATCGTAAGACAAAAGTCTTGCGATCGGTGAAAGGTGTGTGCCCAGCATTAGGCTGGAACCAACTAATCGATAGTAAGCAATAATGAGATTCATTACCATTCTCATGATCGGTTAATTGGTTTGGACCCCCTAGTTCTCTCCTTGCCCAGCAGTGAGGAGAGCTCCCCCGCCACCAGTCCATTGGCTCTGCAACTCTCTCCTCCCTGCTGAGAGCCAGTGTTTCATTGGCTATGTGTCCCTGGATCGGAGGGGACACAGACACCTGCAGCTGGTGCCCAGCGGTGAGGAGAGCTCCTCCCACCACCGCTCCATTGGCTCTGCAGCTCTCTCCTCCCTTCTGAGAGCCCGATGAATGCTGCGGTCTGTGTCCCCCTCCGATCCCTGCTGCTTTCCCCCACCGATATCTGCAGAGGCAGTGGGGATCAGAGCAGACACAGTGACAGGGCCAAGTGGGGCAGTGCGGAATGAGAGCTGCGGAACGATCATTCCCTGTAATATTCAAACATCTCAGTGATGATCACTACAATGTTTGTAAATAACTGAGGACATGAGGCATTGCAAGCCTGACCGTTACAGGCATGACTTCCAGAGATAGAGCATGATGGAATGTGTAGTTAAAGCACATCTGGAGTTGGCCACCCCTCACCTATACCAAACCACAGGTTATCATTCTGTGTATTTATACATGCGGACAGATGCGGGTTCTATCAACCTGAAATGCACCAAACAGGTTCATCGGCCTGACAAAGCAAAGAAATGACTAGCTGATATTCTGTGAACAAATCTCGGATGAAAGGAAACAAAACGATTTCTCTGCACACCAGTCACATGTTAGTATAAAGAGAATTTCAGATTAAATTCTTAGCTTAGCAAGCTCACTCCCGGGATGGACTACAATCTCACAATTAGTTTACTCATTTGTATTGAGATTGTAGTCCATCATGGGTGAGAGTTTGGTGCGGGGGCTACTTTACAACACACAGGTACCATGGGGAGCCAAAATGGCCCCCCTCCAGAAGGAAGGACAGTGTCCGCACCAATTCAGAGATGATTTTAGGATCTACAGCCGAGTGATACACAAATAAGAGACATTTTTGTTAATAGTTAAGGGACTTGAATGCATTTGTAAGATGTAACTCCTGAGTTTAGTGTCACTTTAAGCCGAGACAGAACACAGCATTTATTAAAGGAAACCGAGACAGGCAGCTGTCATTGCTGGTCCCCTTCTGTAAAGAGGAGGAGGGGGAAGAGGAGGAGGAGACGATCCCCAGCTCATACAAACCATGTCGATTTTCAGTGTATTTGTACAATAAAGGAAATGATTCAAATAAAAAAGGTAAGTTTATAACCAAAAATTATTTGGTAAACCAAAAATCATCTTAGTTTTTCCAGAAGTTGAACTCTAGGCAGATATGAGACACACATTACTGCAGATCTGTAATCAATACATCATTAAAAAAATGTTTTTAAATATAAGGTGTCCTCGTATCGGAGAAGCAGCACAAGAAGCCAATTACTTCATGTGCTAACAAGGAACATGTTAATAGGAAGGGAAATTATTGTGACAGAGAGATGAGCTCATCACTGTGCTGCTTCTCTTTTCACTGACCAGTCATAGGCTGGGGACAGGTCCGGATTGACCTGAGCTCAGAGGAAATGGGAGGAATGATGTTGGCCATCAGACTAAGGACATCTTGTGGCGGAAAACAAGTACTGCAGGTGAGAATTCTGGATTGAAACTAACGGGGTTATTCACAAAAGGGTGAAGAGTTTGGAGAAGGAGGAGAAGTGAACAATCTAGGACAACATAGCTGAACTGGAAAGTGAGCTGAATTGGAGAATCTTTCCAGTTCAGCCATGTTGTCCTAGATTGTTCACTTCTCCTGTCTTCTCAACTCTCCACCCTTCTGTGAATTACCCTGTAAATGTTGCAACACACGCTACTTATTTTTATCTTTTAATGACCTTTTCATTTATATCTTAATCTTGTCTGTATTTCTGCTTTAAAGTTATGTAAAATCTCATCTGTAGACCGAGCATGAAATTGACATCTTTACACTTTTCATGGAAGTGATCGGACATCACTGTGCTAGACATCTTTTTACTTTCTCATTCTTTTATTAAAATGTAATCATACATGAATCACACTAGTACTTCAGTGTGTACAAAAAACTAAAGCAGAAATAAAATCATTTCCTCGGCAGGCACCACGACTACCGTGTGGATTCCTTCTCTGTGCTTTCTTCATCTTTCCGGAATCGTTTCAGTGCTGGTTCACCTAAAACGGAAGCACACACAGGTTATGGGTTTGGTCTTTCCTTTTCTCACCCAGAGCAGTAGATTCCCTGTCAGGATTTTAGTGCTGTCTGTCTTCCTATCAGGACAGGATGGAAGGTCAAATATTCCGATTTGGGTAAAGAGCCACAAGGATCTGATCCTTCACCTCCTCTACTATAGCAGAAAAACAAATGGTCACTGTACTGTACTGTACTCACTCACTGTCGCAGGGAAATTAAATATCTACTATTGTATTATAACTTTAATTTATTCCTTATATTGTAAAGTGCAGTGCAAACTGTTGGCGCCATATAAATCCTGTATAATAATATTATTAGTGGGGTTAACTCCACTGCAGGGGTAAGATCTTTAGATTCCTGGAGTTCTTCTTTAAAGTAAATGTTACAATAACATGCTGAATATAAAGTATAGTTTTCTTTTAGAGGACTCATGTAACTAAAGAAGGCCACATAACACCACCATGGTAACATTTTAGAAAAATGTCTGAAATCCAATTCATTTCACGGTATATTCTGCTTCTGACATCCAACACATGCAGAGATTTGAATTTAGGTTCCTGTGTGTACCCTGACACAGCACCTCTCCAACAGGAAAAATACATCTCAACTCCCACAATGTATTCGGAAGCTCTCATATGATCTGATCTATGCAAGCTGTTGACAGTCAGTGATCACTGACAGTGTATTTGTCAATCTGCACTTTGTAATGGAAGGGGGGGGCACAGACAAAATGTTTTACCCTAAACTGGATATTACTACCACAGATATTCTGCTATGTATTTGTACCAGACGTGTTCAGCCTTCCCCTGCACTGGTCTGTGGTTGGAGAAGCTTATATAGGTGTCCTGCCAGGGAATCCCTCTTCATACACAGAGAACATCATGTTCTATCATGTGGAAGAAGCAGCTTTATGTTGGTGTTTTGGAAATGACGAGGCTTGGAGTAACAAATGTTTTGTACAAACGCGGAGTATCTGATGTGTAGCACATTAGCACCCGACTATGCCAGGAACACTCAAGCTAGGTCATTTTTTTAAAGCCTTGTTTGTCCAATTTGTGTTTGTATGCCTAAGTATATATTAGTGTGTATATATATACAGGGCTAAAAATTTCCATTTGCGAGTGAAAATTGCGTGGGGGCGAGCGGAAATGAAGCCATTGAGTCAGGCACTCAACTCCTGGACCTCCTCTGGGCGGCTTCTCTTCTCCTCACCGACATGATGACAACGCTCCCTCGTCCGTCCGTCCCGGGGGGCCGTGTGAGAAGGACAAACACTGGAGCGATCGTCTGATCACTCCAGTGTTTGTAAATAACTGGGGACACATAGTACTAGGTATCCCCAGTTATGAATGAACAGGCGGTGATTTACATTGCAGCCTGCAAGATTTCCTCAGTGGGGAGAAGCACTCAGTACAGAGGCTCCTCCCCATTCAGAAACTATTGATAGTAAATATTTTACTATCAGTGTCTGAATGAATGGAAAGCCTCTGTACTGAGTGCTTCCCATTCACTGAGTTCTGAGGCTGCAGAAAAAGAAATTGAGGATTTGGTGTCCTCAATTTCTTTTCTATTTTAAAAGGGAAATGTCAGGGGTCTGTTTGGACCTATATATATACACACACACACACACACACACACAGGGCTTGAAAAATCTGTTCATCCTCGAGGACGCCGGAGTCGGACGAGTAGCTTTCCGGCTGGAAATTAAACGGCCGGCCGGGAGCGTTACATTCGTCCGATTGCTTGTATTGAAGCAGATCTCTGCTTCATCAGCTTCTCTGGGGGTCCCTAGGTGACATCAGGGGTCTTGGAGACCACTGATGTCTCCATAAAGAGGACCTGTCAAGTAAATTAGCTATCACATAAGGGGCTTCTTATCCCCCCATGTGATAGCAATAAAGTTAAGTGTAAAAAAAATTAAAGCATAAAAAAATATTAAAGATGCATAAAAAAAAAACAAAAAAAAACACAACCCCCAACATACACATGCAAACATGCTTCGGGTGTGTCTACGTGTGAAAACGATTATTGTGCCGCACATGTTACATATTACCGCGAATGTTGGAATGAGAGCAATAATTTTAGGGCCATCATGGCCTATGGCCAATGAGGTTTCGGTGTGGTTGTTTTTTGCGTGCGCGCAATTTTAAGGCTTGGCATGTTTGGTGTCTATTTACCCGACGTGACCCCGTCTTTTATATTTTACCAAAAATATGGGTAAGAATATATGTTTCACATAACGTATATAGTAAAAAATACACGTCCAGATTTGGTGTGAACAAGTACTTACTAAAGCCCTTCTACCGTACGATAATCGCAAGGTGTGTGGAAGGCGTGCGACCGTTTCCACTGTACGGTCACACGACTTTTGTCTTACGAACATGTTTGAAAACCAGCCGAGAATCGTACGAATCTCGGCTGGTTTGTGGCATGATCGTAAGATAATTACCGCACTGGGTACCAGGAAAGGAAAGCACACCACAATAAAAAAACATTGGTCATGCATCCTTACACTTCCTCACTCTACTTGTCTGTGTCCCCATTAGCGAGATTTCCTATTACTTCCTTTCCTGCAGGGGTGGGCAAACTCTGGACCGCCAGCTGTACACAACCCAACCTGCATCAAAAATCTTTTGCCTGAAGTTGGGCTCTTTTTGTTTTGTCCATAAACCTCCAAGTCTTGCTGTCAATTCCAGCTGTCCTTTTGCGCACATCCATGAACTCTGTAGCAACACAGAAGCTTGAGGCCAATTACACACAGTTAAGGCCGTATGTATGAAACAGGAAATGCTTACAGAAACTAATAAGACTGCAGCTCTCATTATTCTCATGCAAGTTAGAAAATCAAAAGGTAGAATTTGGCTGCTGTGGGTAACACAGGAGACGAGTCCCTTTAGACGCAGCAGAAGCCATGTCAATACTGTGCAGGCTATAGAGAGAAATAGGATGTCATCAGCGCTCACACTTGCTGTTCCTGTACACAGTGTTCCTGGCATGACAGAGCTGGAAAGGATTAAGCCTGCTCACCCTAAAAAAAGCAGCTGCTTTACTAGCTGCTCAGGGAATCCACCGCCACTGATGACATGCTGTACTTAAACAGAAAACATCCACTTATTCAGTAGCACAACGTGACGAGGAAAGTGCAGCAGACAGTCTGAAGACCTTAAAGAACGCCAGGAATTATTGTCAGAAAGGACTGATGACAGAAACCATGATGTGTACACGGCTCAAAACAATTAAAGGAACACTTTGAAAACACATCAGATCTCAATGGGGAAAAATATCATGCTGGATATTTACTGTATACCTGACGGGGTAATGTGTTAGGAAGGGAAGGATGCCACATCGTTTGATGGAAATGAAAAATGATCAACCTACAGAGGGCTGAATTCAAAGACACCTCAAAAATCACAGGGAACTGTAAATCAATCGATAGCCGACGAATCGACGATCGAAAACGTTGCCAACGTTTTCAATCGTCGATTTTAATCGACTAAATCGATTAACTGTTGCAGCTCTACAAAACGGTACTCAGTAATTTGTATAACCCCCACGTGCTTGTATGGATGCCTGACAACGTTGGGACATGCTCCTAATGAGATGATGGATGGTATCCTCGGGTATCTCCTCCCGGATCTGGACCAGGGCATCACTGAGCTCCTGCACAGACTGACTGACGAGCGTGGGGGCCATTCAATGGTATAAATACCTTCATCCTCGAGGAACTGGCTACATACTTTCACCACATGAGGCTGGGCATTGTCGTGCACCAGGAGGAACCCAGGACCCACTGCACCAGCGTAGGGTCTGACAATGGGTCCAAGGATTTCATCCCGATACCTAATGGCAGTCAGGGGGCCATTGTCTAGCTTGTAGAGGTCTGTGCGTCCCTCCATGGATATGCCTCCCCAGACCACCACCGACCCACCACCAAATGGGCCATGCTGAATGATGTTACAGGCAGCAAAACGTTCTCCACGGCTTCTCCAGACCCTTTAACGTCTGTCACATGTGCTCAGGGTGAACCTGCTCTCATCTGTGAAAAGCACAGGGCGCCAGTGGTGGACCTGCCAATTCTGCTGTTTGAATGGCAAATGCCAATCAACCTCCACGGTGCCGGCCAGTGAGCACAGGGCCCACTAGAGGACGTGGGGCCCTCAGGCCACCCTCATGAAGTCTGTTTCGGATTGTCCGGTCAGAGACATTCACACCAGTGGCCTGCTGGAGGTCATTTTGTAGGGCTCTGGAAGTGCTCATCCTGTTCCTCCTTGCACAATGGAGCAGATATCGATCCTGCTGATGGGTTAAGGACCTTCTACGGCCCTGTCCAGCTCTCCTAGAGTAACTGCCTGTATCTTGGAATCTCCTCCATGCTCTTGAGACTGTGCTGGGAGACAGCAAACCTTCTGGCAATGGCAGGTATTGATGCGCCATCCTGGAGGGGTTGGCATGCCTATGCAACCTCTATAGGGTCCAGGTATCGCCTTATGCTACCAGTAGTGACACTGACTCTAGCCAAATGCAAAACTAGTGAAAAACAGCCAGAAAAGATGAGTAGGGAAAATGTCAGTGGCCTCCACCTGTAAAACCATTCCTGTTTTGGAGGTCGTCTCATTGTTGCCCATCTAGTGCACCGGTTGTTAATTTCATTAACACCAAAGCAGCTGAAACTGATTAACAACCCCCTCTGCTACTTAACTGACCTGATCAATATCCCAGGAGTTTATTAACTTGATGCTATACTCTGATAAACAAAAGTGTTCCTTTCATTTTTTTTTGAGCAGTGTATATACATGCCTTACTGAACTTACCTGCACAATCTAACTGGTTAGCAAAAAGCACCTTAGCTGGCAACTTAAAGCTTATACACATCATCTCCTTATTAGGGGCGACGTTCCTCACAAGATGGACTGAGCAGCTGTCCAACACGGTTCCCAAATACTGCTCTGCCTGCTTCCTAATGTCCTTTTCTGGGTTATCGTCCTTTGAGAAGCCATAGCAATGTACAGTTGGCAGGATGTCCTCACTGCAATACTCCATGTCCAGAAGGTGTCTGAAGGCATCAAGAAACTCCACAGCCATAGCTGGCAGGTTCATGACAATGTGGAGATGGTTTTCCCTCTCTGTGGTGAAGGACTTGATATATCCTGATAGTTCTTTCTTTATAACAGTCCTGATAAACTCTCGCCCATCAACATTAAACGGCTGCACTTTCTTGTCCACTTTATTCAGCTTGCAGTTATGTAGCAGCCATTTATAGGACTCTGGGTTCAAGTCGTTGGCGTAGACGATGCATTTTCTTTTAGCGGCAGGGATAGCGAAGGGCCCAACTCCTGCAAACACATCGAACACCACATCTCCGCTCTTTAGGAGTCCAGTAATTCTGTCATGCTCTGTCCCGAGCCTTGAATTCCAGTAGACTTTTGAAAAATCAAACTCGTATGCGATACCATTTTCCTTCACCTAGAATAAGAAATAATCTTTATTTATTTATAGATTTAAAGTGATCAGGTCATGGAAAAAGCATATTCAACTAACACTAGTCCCTAAGGGCCCATTCACACCACATCCAGATCATCTCCAGACTGAATATTTTGTTGAAAGCTGCAGATGTAAAAAGATTAACCTGACTCGACATGTTAATGATAAGATTTTAGTGATTGGGTTTATATCTACTTTAGCATATGAAATAAACATCACAAACCTTGGTTATCATGTTTTCCTCGCCAGCTAACACTTCCATCTGAAAGTTTCTATATGTTGAGTCAATAATGTTGGTTTTATTCACAACAGAGGTGAGGCCGGGGTTTTTATCCAGTATTACCTGCCCTGTCAAAACAAAAACGTCATCATTACAAAAAGGAATGTGCTAGCTTTTCACTACTAAGGTTAGCCATACACTGAACAGAATAAATGTTTGATTCACAGCATGGGTGAGGGAAAATCGACCCACCAGGCTATTGTATTGACAGCAGTGGGTGTGCTGCTGTCAGATTACCTGAGCAGTGACTGCTGCTGATGAGAATGTTCAGACTGGCTCAATGACAAAGTTGATTTAAATATCAACTTTTGTTGAATGGACGAACACCAATGGGGCCACGTACTGCTCGAATTTTGGCCCAGTCCTGCTAAGCAGTGTATGGCTAGCTGTAGACAGACCTGAGTAAGATAGGCAGTGAGATGTCTGTCTGTCCTTATCAAAATGGAATAAGTAGAGATGACGCATGGATCAAAATTATCAATAGATCAATCGGACTGTGATAACAGTGGCTCTAGTAAGGCTGCTCCCAAAAAAGCGGGGGCGTCCCAAAAGCAGAGGGCCCAGGTTTGAAGACAAACAATAGGTCTGAGAAGCTTGTATTATTAACCAGTTGCCGTCCGCACATCCCAGGTGACAGAGGTCCTGGAGACCCCTAATGTCTCCATAAAGAGGACCTGTCAGTGTACCTGTGCTATTATATAGGGGGATTGTTATCCCCCTATGTAATAGCAATAATAAATTTCGGTAAATATTTCCTTAATATAGTAAAAAATAAAACCCCCAGGTGATTAAATACCACCAAAAGAAAGCTCTATCTGCCCCCATAAAATGGTATAAAATTCATTTCAGTACAGCGTTGCGTGGCGGAATAAATGTCAGTCAAAGTACCGCAGCGCTGAGTACTGAAAAATGGCCTGGACAGGAAGGGGGTTTAACAGCGCGGACTTCAAGTGGTTAATATGTGTTTACAGAAAACCCTATTTCAAGGCTTCAAAGATCTCCCCTTCTACAGGGCTTAAGTATGACCTATTTCTGAAAATGCAAGTTACTTGGCTATAATGCTGACCCACTGGCTCCCATACTGACTGAAATCACTATCCTGGAGGAGTACAGCTAACGCAATGTAAAAGTATTTCGGGATGCACCGATTCTAGCATTGGTGCCGATACCGAGTATTTGGGCGAGCACTCGTAACAAGTGAAGCCGGCTTCCTAGCCAATCAGGGAGACGGGTCATGACGTGCCACCCGGCTTCCTGATTGGCTAGGAAGCCAGCTTCACCTGTTGATAGGCAGACTGTTTAGGAAGCCAATCAGAAAGCCAGGTGGCACATCATGGCTCACTTCCCAGCATCCTGATTGGTCAGGAAGCGAGGCAGCCTCGGCAAGTGAAGTCAGTGTTCTTTCCCTAGAACACCGGCTTCACAGGCAATCAGGAAGCCGGGCAATGGGTCATGATCCGCTGCCCGACTTCCTGATAATCGGGGCACAAGGCACCGGTACTCGGTATCAGCAAGTACCCAAAAATATCGGCATCCCTATTCAAAAGTCCAGTGGGTCGCCATATTATTTTTAGCCAGAGTTTAACAACAGCATTGTCTATGTTCCTCTCAGGAGCAGAATAAGTCCCTCTGACTTTCCTATGGATATTTATTTTGGTGTCTCAGAAAGTATTGAAGCCAACGATCGCCAGGCAACCAGCATCTCTAAAAGAGGGACATCAAAGGCTACCTGTGGATTTCCCTCAGTACAGGTCTCCCTTAAGCCAGCACACGTGTTATAAAACACTCACGAGCCAACACCTACCAATCAAATTCTTGTACGGAAGCTGGTGATCCCGGAGATTCATGTGAGCAATGTGTCCTACACGGGTGAAGCCAGTTGTGACATCCTGGCCTTTGGGTAAAATTGCCTTCAGGATCTCATCAGTCTTCAAGTTGTCATAAGTTACTTGCAGATCAGCCTGACAGATCTGAGGGCTAATCTGAAACTTCTTGAAGAACTCGTGGTCCCGCTCATCAAACGCATCTTCTGATGTGACCAAGAACGGGTCCAGCACAATCTTTTTATGGTCCTCGTCACTGGGGTCCTCGATGATTGTCTTCAGTTTGGGCCTCTTTAATATTCTGTGCTTTAGGTTTTTCATGACAATATGAATAAGTTCCTTCTTGACTTTGATGACAGGAGCTTGGATGGTTTTGGTGAAGGCATCGCGGTCAAGTGTGGTCATTCCCTGCACTTTAGGAGGAGGCGAGAACAGCCCAACTTCCTCACAATCATCCTGCGGCTGCTCCATGGTGGACAAGCTTCTTCTCTGGAATGTATTGAAGGAAAGTATAGCAGCAGACCATGGACTGGTTTTCGGGGTGATTTTATTTAAGGCTGCAAAGCCATAGCCGGTTAGATTTGCTGAGCAAAACAATCTGTTAATATTCCTGAAAGGAAAAAAATAGTAAATGCATTTTAAATACGCACATAAAGTCCCTCTATGGGTACTTCTGTCCCCTTCTATAACCCCGTCCCTGTATATTCTAGTAGCTTTTTATTACTCATCTTCAGGTCATTCTAGAGGATAGTCAAACTCCGGCCCTCCAGCTGTTTTGAAACTACAAATCCCATAAGGCACTGTAAGATTGACAGCCACAGGCACGACTCCCAGAGGCAACTGCATGACGGGATTTGTAGTTTAACTACAGCTGGAGCACCAACATTGGGCTAACCCTGCTCGAGCCTCTGATCAGATCTGAACAGTAGAGATGTGCACGGGCTTGGTGCAACCCAAGCCGTGCAAATCTGTCACTGATGCACCGCCCTCCTGGACCAATCAGTTGCAGCCGGTGGATCTCCTGCAGCTACACATGATCACATCACTAGTGAACAGCATTGTGCGGTCAGGTACAACAACTGAGTATAAAGTTAAGCACGACCTGCACTGTAGAGCCCCATAGACATTTATAGTGCTCATCTTCCTCCAGGAGACAATCCACACAGACTTCTATGTCGCTCTAATGTGCAGCAGGAGAGAAGGGACATGTGGTGCAGGATGTAAACACTCCCTGAAGTCCCCAGGCATTGGTTCTCGGTAAGTATCCGTCTGTGGAGGGCGAGATCTGTTAAGTCAGGGAAGGGGGGGGGGGGGTAAAAAAGGGGTGGTTGATTTTTTTAGAGC